GGATGTCTCACTAGTACAATCGTTTCATTATTTCTCAGTTACTACCCAGTACAAAAATTCCTATGCTGTGATGAGCTAATACTGATTTACAGCCAACTACAGAGCATAGATTTGCATAATTGTATGCCTATGTCTCTGTAAATGACAAATATGAAAATCTCTCAACTCTTGTTCTTATAATCTCATATTTAAATGAAACAGAAATACCCAAGAAGTTGCTGTTGTTTTAAATCTTAATTAAAATAGATTTGTTAACACAATTTTAAAATGCATTGTTTACCATAGTGTGGACAGGCCCTTATAAGCAACATGAAAATCCTACCTACTTAAAGTATGGTAAACACATATGCTAGGTATATCCAAACTAGTCTCTCTAGATCATTGATGCTTTGGCATGTAACTTTATAAACAAGTCATGCTGAGTTCACTAGGGTGCATAAAGCTAACCCTCGTGTCTGCAAGACTTGGGCCTTACACTCTTCCTAAATCATTTCTTTATTATTAACTTAAACAAGAACAAATTTAAATGTCTGTCTGTGCTTGTATCAGAATTTCTCTCTTTCTTGGAATTTCCCCTGCAAGATCTCTCAGTATTTGCCCTAAATGTCTCTTCACTCAGAAAACTGCTCAAACGTATGCCTCCAATCAACTTTTGAAATGCAATGTAAATAAAACTGTATTATTCCTGACAAGTTTGTAAGCAGGTGGGAGCAGGTAAGGAAAGATGATGAAAGGGAGCAGGAAGGTAAGAAAAGACAGTCAGAAAGGGGATGAAAAAAAGCTCTGAAACTTTTAAACAATTTCTCTTTTAAATCAGTCCTAATGCTTAACTACCCCTAAACTCACTGGACATGTGCAGTGCAAAGATAGTAAACAGCTGCAAGAAATCATGAATATCAAAAGCCTATATGATTAAGAAACTATAATTACATGAAAAAAAGATTTTAGAAAATGTACATATATAGGGAAAGAATATTAAAAAATTTACCACTTATAATAAATGGCTTATATATGCTCATGATTTAGACTGATTTTAAAACATTTCAAGAGAAAGGCAGATGTAAGGGGTGCACTGAAATTATACAAAGTCATTTAATTAATCACTGTATTTAAAGCTATAACCACCAAATATTGGAAGAAAACTCAGTATAAATACCAAAGCAAATGGTGACTTAGATTTTTAAAATTTGTATATATATAGATATCCATATAGATATCTAACCCTCTATATCTATCTATATATAGATATCTAGCTATATCTATAGCTAAAATTTATTGGCCTATTTATTTATCCAAATACAGTAAAAGCTTTGTTATCTGGCACCCATGGGGAATGGGGGGTGCCAGATAAGAAAATATGCTGGTTAACTGAGCAGCCCAAACAGGCGTCTTTGCCTGTTCAGGCCGCCACTTCTCCTGCCGCGTCCGGGGCGTTGCTGCCCCTCCCACGGCATTGCCACCCTTCCCTTTGGGCTCTGTGGGCCCTGAGGGACAGGGAGGTGGGCCCCGTGCAGCCTGTTGTGCCCTGTGGGCCCCATGCAGGCTGCTTTGCCCCGGGCCATGGGGGCTCGGAGAAACTGGAAGTGCCACAGTGGGCACTTCCAGTTTCACTTTACCTTACAAGCTGGCCTGCTGGTTAATAGAACATGCCGGCTTGTAAGGTGCCAGTTTATGGAGCTTTTACTGTATAACAGAAACACAGGAAAATCGGATTAATTCATCACTCCAAATGGATAGGTAATGATGACTGATTATCCTTAAGTGACTAATGTTGTGTAGTTAGCTATTTTGTAGTTAGCCAAGAACAAAGTCCTGCACTTGGGACAGAATCGTTGTATGCTCAAATGAAGTTACAGAACAAGACAAACCCCAAGACTGACCCCTGGGGCACTTCACTTGATACCAGCTGCCACCCTCTGAGACCTACAATCCAACCGTGTTTCAATTCATTTTACAAACCATTCATTCAATCCATACTTCCTTAACTTGCTTACAAGAACGTTGGGGGAGACTGTATCAAAAGCCTTGCTAAAGTCAAAGTATATCATGTCCACTGCTCTCCCAGCATTCACAAAGCCAGTCATCTCATCATACAAGGCAATCCTTCTTGGTAATCCTTCCGTGACATTTTGGATCCGGGCTCTTGGCAAGCAGTAGAACTCCAGAGACAACAGGTCAGGCCAACAAATGGATGCCTCCATCCCCCACAGAAGGGAGTCTCCAACCACCACCATCACTCATCATTTCCTTTTGGTGGTAGTGGTCTTGATCTTACCAACCTTGGGGATGCCTGGTCTGGCTGCCTCCACCAACAGAACATGCTCCTCCTCCTCTGTTGCTAGGGCTCCATACCTGTTCTCTAAGCAAACTGTTACAGCTGGAGATGAAGATTTCTGCTTGCTGCCAGAGGTCACAAGCTTCCAACTTCCATCTTCCTGGAAGTCCATGTCCTCTTCCTTCTCTAGCACTGCCTCTGGCAGTTCTTCCTCCACATTTCTGGAGGTCTCCTTCAGCACTGAATCAATGAAGTTTTCATGGCAGAGGATGCTTCAGAGCCTTGCCACCTCCTGTAACTCGCTTGCCTGATCCCTGAAGAACACTATTAGGAGATGCCGCTAACATCACAGGCACTCCCCTACATGGCTGTCACTGGGAGGAACCTGCAAGCCACAGTCACCACAGCACCAAGCCAGGACCTGGGTAGAAGCCTCAACAGAGAGCAGCACTTCCTGGACAGGCACCTCACAGGTGCAAGCATTGGCAATGTGTAGGGGGTGCACGCGGGTGCATGTGCAACCCCTGAGATTGCTGTGCACCCCCTGGAAACGCCAGCCGCAAAACCGGAAGTGTCGGCAGAAGTGCACTTCTGGTTTTGCCACTGGTGCTTTTGCACTTGGCGATCAGCCTCTGGGGGGCCTCCCCATCGGTGATCTGGTGCCCCCCGCCCCCAGATTCGGGAGACACCAGTCGCCCATTGGTGCAAGCAGAGGAAAAGTTGGCAGTGGCAACGGCTTTGGCATTGCGACATCCTCCAGCCACTTCTCTAGGTCTCTTAAACCATTGCCTCTCTCTTCCTGTCCCTCTTTTCAAGCAAACCTTCTGTAGCAAGCTCCCCTGTAAGCCAGCCTGTTCTCTGCTTCTTGGTCCCAAAAGGTTCCCTTTTCCCTGCTTCCTCTCACCAAGCTTAAAGTAAAGGAAGGTGAGAGAGAGTTTCCAGGCAAACTCCCCCTTGCTCAGAACTCTAGTTAAGCACGAGGCTTAAGTATTGCTCTAACTCCTTAGTTTTTGCTATTTACACTAAATATATGTAGGTTAGCTACTCTTTATTACAGAAAGAGCAAAGGCTCCCCTTCAAAGAGGGAGTGGCAAACTAACCCACAAACTGACTTACAAACTGCTTGATGAATAATGATTTAAGCAAAGTGTTTTGTACACAGATCAACAGGATTCTAGCAGGGATTTAGGGCACTGACTAGTAAGACCACAGTGACAAGTTATCCCAGTGATTAATTAACCAGGCTTCACCGTAGTTTTAAGACACAGTATCAATTTTAAATCATGATAATATATATTCTTTTGTACATGTACATGTAAACACACAAGGCTACCAAACTCACCTCATCCATTGTTGTTGTCTAAATTAGCAGAAAGTGATGAAAAAGAAAATGAAAGAAAAGAAATGTAAAAAAAGATATGCTACTCTACAATATTAGGCAACTGTATGGGGGTCACAAAGCATTTTTATAATATCAACTGTGTAAAGTTCAGTTCTGAAAAGAATTATGTTCATTAGTAACTGTCCCATGCTGGATAGCTGTAGTAAGTGAATAGCTGAGTAAAATACATCACTTTGTAAGTTTTTTCAATATCATCTCTAAAATAAAAAGGAAAAACTATGCAGTAAACAAACTACTTGAAGAAAGACACTAATTTATAGCATTTTCTTATATAATTACCATTCCCATAAAATAGTCCTTAAAAATGTAAATGAAAAACAAACAGTTGTAATTGTACCATATATTATTAAGAATTACCTTAACAAATCGACACAATCTGACTGCATCTGCCCATTTTGAATTGCTAATGTATTCATGAAGAATAGGTGGATAAGGTGATACATTGAGATGAATAAGTGAGCCATCAGCTCTTCTAACTGTTACTTGATTTCCCACAAAACGTACAATCTGGGGATTTTTGCTAAATTCACTGTTGAAAGAAATGCAGATAAACTACATTTTATAATCCTTCATGCTAAAAAATAACAATTTAAAGCAACTGGTGGTTTTAAAATTAGTTAATAATTATTATATTGTAAACTTCTTTTACTTTCTAACTAAATGGAAACATGAACATTCAACTGCTAAAGTATATGTAGTCCAGTTTAAAAATGAAAACAGGGTCAGATTTTTAAAGAGAGTGACCTGCAATCAAAATTGATTATGCAACCTATCAAATGCAATCATTGGCTAAAAGTGCAAATACCAATTGGGTATCTGTGCATATGCTGGACTTACACATACAAGTAGTGTTAGTATATATACAGATACAGGTAAAATTATCTTGGCTCTGCTAAATTAAATTATGAAATAAGGTGTACTTTCCAGAGCATGAGTGTAATTATATGCCAAAGACAGGACTATAAGAGTATTATGTTTATTATTATATTGGTAGACATCATCTCCCAGGTTGTAGAAAATACCATTATGCTGCACTAGAACAATAATAAACGAACGTTATACTAAGGTGACCACAATTTTTTTCAGATAAAATCTTTGATATTTCTAGTTACGTCAGAATTTTTAACATATCCATTAACTATGTTTTTCAAAACAATTTTCAGATAAAATGCAAGAAATGTGATTAAAACTCAAGGTTTTGTATTTATGTTGAACATTCCCTTAAAAAGCATTTGTTACTATTTAAATTAGTTCATTATTTAATTAATAGTCTGCAAAATATAATATATTGCAATGAACCTAACACTGCATTACCCTAGATTCATGGAAGAGCTGGAGGCTGAGTCAAAGCAAGAGACGCATACAAGAAAATGCAGCATGATGACTATGGAGAAAAGACTGAGCAGCTAGTAGTGTGGAACAGGAAGGCTAAGAATTGGGAAATATACCCCTCATGCTTCCAGTAACTGCAGTACGAGGTCAGAGGTTTTGTCCTACTATCAGGACAGCAAGACTCTTATTGTATTGCATTTCAATTGAGTTGCTTCAGAGGGTAAGTGAAAAAATGTTAGTTTAGCTTTCACTGTAATTGCTAAAACAATTGTGCATTATGTATTTAATTTTTAATCCTGGCAGCCCTAATAAAGAAATAACAATTACTTGAAGCATCTGAGTATGTATGGGAACACAGCAATGACTAGAGTTAGTATAGACTAGTGCTTGGAGCTTCTGAGCTCCGAACATACAAAATATGGTACCAAACTTCTAGATATTCTGGCATGTCAGAGTATTCACAGCAATAACTGGCAATGGGAGTGGTTGCAGTATTTTCAGTTCTTATTCAACAAGAGCTGTAGAATAGTTTTGAAAAACCAAGTATTAGCTGAAAACTAAACTGTAATAATTCTAAGGGAAAAGTCATTACAGAAACTTTTGGGTATGTGATTTTAGTTGCATACTCCAACTTCAGAAATATGCCAGAGAAGATGCTTCATGAAACACCTCTGTAGTTTATCTCAAACCATTAGTTCAGCACACCTTCAACCAGTGTATTTCCAGGTTTGGAAGAGGCACACAAGACCAGGTGGCTGAGGCATGCTCAAGACCAGCCTGGCTTGGATACGTTACCACTGCAGTGTAGACTTATTCGTAGCATATCAGGACAAAGAAATAGAACCCACCCACCACTGGGTCCTTTGCTTTGCTGTTCCTTCCCTTTTACCTGAATTGTAGCAGTCTTGTAGCTGTGATGGTTCCCTGAAGAATTTCTCTGGCATATTTCTGAAGTTGGCATATGTGTGTGCAAGCAGATAGCTGTGGTATACATGGAATGGCCCACTCAGGACATGCTGTCACTGCAGGATAGACATGCACTAGATCTTTGGACAAATCATTTATGGTAGATGGCCTCTACCACTTCTGTACCTCGTTAGGGTGTGGCAAGGTTTAATCTCATTGTAAAACATCTTAAGAACCTTGTAAAACATTTGCAGAGCCCATTCACTAGTAGCCTGCCCTCTTCCCACCACGGACAGGAAACTGCTGTGCCTATTGAGCTGCAAACCCCAGTCCATGCTAGGCTCCAGCTCTGCTCTCTGGCAGGCTGTAATGGAGTCAATTTTCCCTCTGTACTTTTGGAGGACAGGGAAACAGAACAATCAGGGATGCTGGCGGAGTAAGAAACCCTTTGGGTGAACATAAAGTGACAATTTTTGCCTGATCAGGCCACAGAAAGCAGTCTAAAGTCATGATCAAACAAGTGCATGGCTGCAGACCACTTAAAAAAATGTCATAGATTTCATAGACATTAGGGCTGGAAGGGACCTCAGATGATCATCGAGTCCAGCCCCCTGCCCTAGGGACAGGAAGTCAGCTGGGGACACAGGATCCCAGCAAGATAAATGTCCAATTGACTCTTGAAGGAATCCAGAGGAGGTGCTTGGACCATCCCTGGCAGCAGTCTGTTCTATGTCTTGGGGGCTCGGACTGTAAAGAAGTTCGTCCTTATGTCCAGCCTGAAACGGTCTTGGAGAAGTTTGTCACCGTTTGACCTTGTAATCCCATGGGGTGCTCTGGTGAACAGACGTTCCCCCAGATCCTGATGCACATCCCTTATATACTTATAGGCAGCCACCAGGTCCTCCCTGAGCCTGTGCTTTTCCAGGCTGAAGAGTCCCGTAGCTCTCAGCCTCTTATCATAAGGCCTCTTTTCCTGCCCTCTGATCATGTGTGTGGCTCTCCTCTGGACTCTCTCTAGCTTCTCCACATCCTTTTTAAATTGTGGAGCCCAGAATTGGATACAGTACTCCAGCTGCAGCCTCACCAAAGCCGAGTACAGCAGGAGGATGACATCCTGGGATTTGCTGGAGAAGCACCTATGTATGCAGGCCAGAGTTTTGCTCTGTTTGCCGGTTGCAACATCACATTGGTGGCTCATATTCATCTTGTGGTTAATCATGACCCCCAAGTCCCTTTCGCCTGTGGTGCTAGCAAGTGTAGCACTATGGAGCCTATAAGCATGCTGCAGGGTTTTCTTCCCAAAATGGCCGATTGAATGAATATCTGAACCCTCGTTACATGAGGGTTCAAATGAAAACATTAAAAAACATAGCATTTCTGTAACTTGCATCTGTCCTGCCCCAGCCTGTTGCTGTTTTCAGAATTGGATGGGGTAAGGAAGCAGAGGGAGTTAGGTCTGCAGTATTTTTCGGCGTGTATTGGAGTCCCCCCCTTCCCCTGCCAAGTTGGGGGGGGGCGGGGGGGGAAGCTTCATTTCACCCCCCCCACCCTCCAGTGCTGGTTGGGGAACCCCTAGGACAAGCTCCCTCTGATCCCTTTTCCTCCTCCCATTCTGAAAACAGGGACAGGCCAGGAGAGAAGAAGGGCCATTACTAAGGGAAACTGGTTGCGGGCTCACAGCCAGCAGCTAGAGTCTCCTCTCCCTGGAACCAAAAGTGAACTTCTGTTTGGTCCAGGGGATCGCTGTAACTCAGAACACTTCCTGAAAAGCTACCTCCAAGGCATCGGGTGTTGCAAAATGTGGTGCTACAGAGAAGCTCCTGTTAAAACTGAAACATTTCTGTAGTGCTTATGCAAATTTTGTAGAACTACAGGTAGGATGCATGTCTGTACACCCACAGTTTTGTAGTGCAACAAGGGCATATATAGCACTACAAATATAATGTCTGTCCATGGCCACTGATGCATTTTTGAAAGCTTTATAGTATGCCCTGAATGGATAATGCCTAAGGTTAAACAAGATAAGAATTTTGAAAGTAGGAACGGTATGGTCTGGTTTCAAGCAGGCTAATTAATATTGCATTTCAGGAACAATTTCAGTGAAAATTCAGAACAGAATTTAAAGTATATAGTCACATTATTCTGATTAAAATCCATGTTACCTTGCATCTTTTTCACACAGTGTTTTTGGCAAAAGATCTTTGTCTACATAAACTGTATTGGGATAGTACCAGACTGTAAAACGAGTATCTTGAAGTCCACAAAGTATATTAGATGTGTCATTCCAAGCCAAAGTATGGACCATTGTTCCTTAATTTAAAAATAAAAATAATATTATGCATTTCAAAAATATATTAAATAGTCAAAAATGTAAAAGTTCTTGAAATACAGCTATGCATAGAAGTAACCCAGTCATTAACAGGCCCTTTTATATGGATTTCATCCACACCCATGAGCTAAAATATATTCTTATGAACTTAAGTATATTTATTTTCTCTTTTACACTTTTTTCTGACATTTATATTCCCATTTTAATAGGAAAATATATAACAGCTCAGCATTTTTTTACATTTTTTAAATGCTTTGTCTGTCAACCCTTATTACCAGCAATAGGCACAACTCTGGGAACAGTAATTGTTTTTTAACTGCTGCTGAATAAACTGTAGAGGCAAGCAACCTCATTAAATTCTACAGCATTTAGATGCTTTTTCTTAAAAAAAAAAGTTTTAATGCTTGAAACTGTGAGGAAAAAACTTTGCAATAAAATGCTATCCTAATCTGAAGTCAGACTGCATGAACCAATAAATCTAGGGGAACTTTCCCATAATCCATTCTGGGATGTTCACTCAAATATATTGCTCACAGTTTAAAAGGCAACATTTAATTCTTTGATTGATAATCAGCATAAAAATTACCCACCCATGCAGTGTAACTGAATGTAAAAAATGTTAGAGATGGATACAATATTTTTCCTTTCATCTTTCCCATGGAACCATAGCAGAATTGTTTCCAGTAACCTATTCCCCTATGTTTTGTTAGCTCCAATTTTAAACTGATCAAAGAAACAGAGATTTCATTACACTTGCTGAAAATAAAAATGAATTTTGTTGCCAGAATGCAAGCTAATGGGATTTTGGCTTGGTTCTTACCAATTTTGATAATTTTCTGTTCTTTTCCAAATCTCTTCACTGAAGTAATATAAAGATCTCTGTTTTTATCAATAAAAGCAATTTTTCTTTCATTTGTAAGCCCCTTTTGGTCCAGGGCAATTTCCACAATCTCTGTCTAAAATGAAGTAGAAAACACTTGTTTATTTATTCTGTGCATTAATCTAGGAGAAATAGATGATTTACTAAAAAAATCAAACATTCTTTGTTACTAATAAAAATAGGGTTTTTAAATATTCTTGTATTTCTTAGTGCCACAACTATTTTATAAAAGTGAGAAAGATTACAAAAAGAGAGGCATACCTAGGAATTTTGGCAACCTGGGCAGTAAGGTGTAGGGTGGTACCAAGCACTTACCTTCTTGCCTAAGAGTTTATGAACTGTGCCAATATAGACTGTTGCTGCTGCAGTGCAAGATCCCCATACACACCAACTGCTGGAGTGGCATGGGCTCTGGTGTCCCCTCTAAATCCGTTCCCAGGGCTGGGACCCTGCTGGCCCACTCCTACTTGCTCTACTGACAGAAATGTTAATCTCCAACAAGTTTTAAATAGTAAACTACAGCCACCATATATTGCAAAAGTACCAGCACTTGGTGTCTATTTATAGTTTTAAAGAGCACAAATACAAGCAGCAGCCAAAAAGAGGACAAGCTTGAATGCCTGTGCCTCCCACAGAAGCTGCCTGATTTGATTAGCATATGCCAATCGTCAAAAGCCCTTTCTTGTACCACGGAGAGACAGAAGAATGTTAAGACTCTCCTCATTCAACCATTCCTGAAGGCAAGACTAAGGACAGGGTTGAACCTACAGTCAAATGCCATTCCTTCATTTCTCGCTTCTGAAAGCAAGGCACCTCAGTGTGAAAGTGGCACTTGCTAACGAAGTGGCTTGTAAGTGAGCTTGAAGGATTTCAGGTAATGAGTTTTATTGTAACAAATGACAGCCTGCAAATCTCCTGAAACTCTCGAGCCTCTTGCTTTGATCCTTTCAGGTATATGAGAGATACTATAATAAGTAAGAACAATTTATATAAAGCCAAGGTTGTCAATCCGCATTCCATGACTGTATATGTCAACACAGTGTACAAAGACTAATTTATGCTGTAATGTAAAAGTCAGGCTTGTCCAAATGTTCCACATGGAGTATCCTACTACCTTAAAACCTTCTTTAATCTAGATTGATATAAAGATGTAATTTTAAAGTAAATACAGTAGGTAAAGTACCTTGTGGGTAAGAGGCTTTCCATCACCCAGTGGTTTCCCAGTCAATGCTTCAAACAGGTAGATAACTTAAAAGATAAAGGTTTAGTGTGAAAATGTTAACATATCATACTTGTTGCAGTTCAACAATTCAAGATTATCTTCAAGCTCTCTACTGGATGTCCAAGATGTCCACTGTATCTATTATAATATTGATGCTTTTCCCATAGAACAAATATCTTAAAATTTGGTACTGTCATTCACTTGTGCTGCTAAGTATATGAAAAATCGCAATCTGAACACCAAGATTTGATTATTTTATTAGCATTCATAATCATCATTGGCCTTCCTAATCAGAGTCATTATCTTAGCCACAATGTTGAAATATGATACTCATTCCTTATGTACCTCCGATTCAGGGGAAACATTCAAATTTAACATTTCTGCCACAGTTCATCAATGTCATATATAAAAATTATTGTGACCCCTAATTTCATAGTTGGTAGGGTTGGAAGGGACCTAAGCAGATCATCTAGTCCGACCCCCTGCCATGGGCAGGAAAGGATGCTGGGGTCAAATGACCCCAGCTAGGTGGCTGTCTAGCCTCCTTTTGAAGACCCCCAGGGTAGGGGTAAGCACCACTTCCCTTGGAAGTTGGTCCCAGCTCCTAGCCGCCCTGACAGTGAAGTAGTGCCTCCTGATATCTAGCCTGAATCTACTCTCAGTCAACTTACGGCCTTTGTTCCTTGTTATCCCTGGTAGTGCTCGGGGGAACAGAGACTCTCCCATTGCCGGCTGGTCCCGCTTGGCAAGTTTACAGGCGGCCACCAGATCCCCTTTCAGCCTTCTTTTGTGAAGGCTGAACAGGTTCAGGTCCCGTAGCCTCTCTTCGTACGGCCTGCCCTGCTGCCCCCTGATCATGCGAGTGGCCCTCCTCTGGACCCTCTCGATGCTGTCCACATCCCTTCTGAAGTGCGGTGCCCAGAACTGGACATGGTACTCCAACTGTGGCCTGACTAATGTTGCATAGAGGGGGAGGATCACCTCCTTGGACCTGCTCGTGATGCATCTATGGATTCATAGATTCATAGAAGTAGGGTTGGAAAGGACCTTGTAGATCATCAAGTCCGACCCCCTGCCCTGGGCAGGAGAGAAAACCTGGCTCATATGACCCCAGCCAGGTAGACATCAAGCCTCCTCTTAAAGATC